GCTGCATGGGCAGGCAGCATGCTTCAGCACCAGGGCGAGGGCAAACCAGAGCGTCCCTGTGGAGGACACAGTCTCCAGTTGCCTCAGGGCATGGTCCGGGACAGTGTCCTGCCCCGCTTTTTTTAGCTCCATTTTTTTTTTGACCCCTGGATATTCCATTTCTGAACCTTTTCCCATTCCTGCACGTGCCTCTTGCAGCATCTCAAAGGGGTTTGAGGCGCTGCAAGAGGCAGATGCGGGTTCGTCTGGATGCACCCCATGCGGGGATTCTTCTACCTCTTAGCTGAGCTCCCAAATAGCCCATTTTTCCTTTGAAAGCCTGGCTTACCTATTTTTTTCCTATTTAAATAGAGTTAACCCTCAAGGGTAGAAGAGCAGGAAAAGAAATCAACCATAGCAATGGGATATTTGTTTCAATGTGTTTATAAGAAAGGCATTTTGGTAATGAAAATGATAATCTCCCTCTATTTCAAAGGCAGCAATGAGGATTACATTCTATTTCGCATTAAAGTTTGTTCTTGCAGCCCAATTTCAGGTAAAATGCCTGCAACAGCTAAGGAGCATTTCACTGAGCCAAGACTGGCTGACTGGGCACACAGGCAGCTAAAACCTGCCCAGGATGGTGGTAATCCATTCACTGTGATGTGTTATTTCAAGGGAGTGCATCCTAGATCAGCCCCCTTAAGGCCTGCTTGCAATGGGGGCATTCCACATGTGGTTCTCCCCTATCCATGCATGGAGGATGGGGAGAAACTCAGCTCTCTTCCTCTTGTACCCACAGAGGGAACTCAGCTCATCTGGGATCTGCAGGGGAAGGAGAAGTGACAGAAAGCATTGTAGGGTGGCAATTTGGAACCAGAACTGGTTGGAAGATACAGAGTCTCTGTATGGATGTCCCTGACTTTCTACAAGGCCTGTAGGATACTTTGTTCCCCTGGGGATCCCATAGCTTGGGGAGGGCCCCATGTACTTTCCACATCCTAGCAAACCCTGACTGTGCACAGCAAGGGATCATTGAGCACACTGCATACCACTTGCATGGGTTTAACCAAGGGAGGGGACAGTCTCACATACCATTATTAGTAAGAAGGAGATTTAGCAAGAATAACAAATAAAAATAACATAAAGGGAAGGAAAAAGCTGAGCCATTGCAATATGGGGTTTTTAAATTCTGTTTTACCAGCTGCATCTTAGATTCTTAAACCCAAAATAATTTTCCAGTATCTGTACATTCCCCTGCAGCTTGGGCAAGGAAGCCTAGTTGGGCATTTCAGTCTGGTCTCTGATCAGTTTGACTCTTAGTTTCTCCTCCATCAGCACAATGCTCCAGTGCTTGCACCAACTTCTTTTTAACATTTCTATTGCTTTCTCAGGCATGTCAGATGCAATACACTTAGAACATAATTCTTAAAACACAATATATTTATGGGGCTGCAATCCTGCGATTCATTGAATTAAATTTGGCAATATACATGATCAGTACAACTGCTTGCATTACAAGCCAGATAACCTCACCAATAAGTTCTGCATAAACTCCATGGCTCCTAGCCGAGCTAGAATATGCCTTTAAAAATAAAAAATAATAAAGAAAGAGACATCCAGTCTTGATTTGCAGCCTTCAAGTGATAGCGAACCTACAACTTCATTTGGTCAATGCCAAACTGCCTTCACGTTAAAAATCTGTTACTTATTTTTTGTTTGTCACTTCTAGTCCTTTGCACTAGGAGCTTGCCTCAATGGAGTGTCTCACCTATGGTACACTGCCAATCTACCCTTTGCAAGTGTAAGCACAAAAAACATTCATATTTTGCTGTTCAGTTCCTACTACGCTATCTCATTTTTACAGAAAAGGTCTAGACTTGTATATTGTGGTTGACCTGCCCGGAGCGATGAGCAGTCACTTGTAGGCGGCCGAGTGGGTGGAAAGTGGCTGGGAGATAGAGCCGCATGTGAGCTGCCCAACTGCAGCTTCCCCCTGCCTGGCTGGGCATCTGCTGCCTGGCACGCATTCCCACAGCTTCCCTGCATTACCTGCTGCCTGGAGCTGTGCAGCAGGGGCAGGAGGAGAAGGAGAAGCCATTAGAGGCAGAGCGAGTTGAGCAATATGTGGGCTGCTATAGCAACAATGGAAGCAGCCCCACCGAGAGACTATGCACATGGGCCACAGCTGGGAAGGTGCTGTCTGGCAGACACAGGGTGGGTGCGGGTGGGAGCATGGTGTGGGCTGCTCCAGGTGGAAGCGGGCAGGGCCAGGGCCGGATTAATGCACAGGCAAACTAGGCACATGCCTAGTGTCAAAGTGAAGAACGGGCCTAGTTGTGCTTATCTATACTAACTAGCGAATTGCCCGTCAAGAATAACAGGGGAGCTCCTCCATCCATCACCCTGCACCGCCAGCGCCTCTCAGGAGCAGGGGAAAGCTTGCACACGACGGTCACCGTCGCCACCCACCGCCCTGTGCTGCCACCACTCTGCATCCAGCCATGCACCACCACCCTTCCCCTCGCTCCATGTCCGGCCCCGCACCACCCCCCATTCCTACATGCTCCAAGTCCAGCCACGTGACACTCCCCCCGCTCCGTGTCCGGCCCTGTGCCTCCCAGGAGCAGGTTGTTTCAGCAAGCATTGTGATTGGCTGCCAAGACAACCAATCAGAGTGCTCCAAGAGTGTTACAGACAGACAGACAGATTAAGCCCATATCCAATAATAGGCTTAGTCTGTGTGCCCGGAGCACTCTGACTATCTCAGCAGCCAATCATAACACTTACTGGAACAACCAATCAGAATGCCCCAGACAGACAGCATGTTATTATTATAGATCCTGAAGCATTTCAAACAGATATGCAGGTAAGTCAGAGCTACAATGAAGCACCAGCCCCCCTGTCACAGAGCAGGCAGGCTCTGCCAAAGGGGAGAAAAAAAAAAAGTGAGGTTAGAAACCTGATCCTTTTTTTTTTTCCTCCTGAAGCCTGCCTGCTTCTCCTTTGGCCGGGCAGTGAGCTGCTGGGGGACCCTGAGCTTCTGTATGCAGCTGTGCCCGCCCAGGACTGCCTGGGTGGGGTGTGAGCAGGTGGTTGCTGCCTGGGGGGCACCACCACTATGAAGGGAAGCACGGGGGTCCCCCTCAGCTCAGGGGCTGTGCGACCCACGAGCAGGTTGCTCCCTGGCTGTGGGAGATCAGGCCCATCTCCATACCCAAGCAGGGTGCTAGCTTTACGGGTGCAGCCCCAGCTTGCAGGCAGCACCTGCCAGATTCAGTGGTGCACAGGACACTGGGAACCCGGGCGTGCTCAGGAAAGCTCAGGCTTGGTGGTCTTCCAGTGCCCTGTGCACCATCCCTGACACCTTCCCACCACCTGGGACTACCTGGGAATGGGCTGGCTTCCCCAGTAAGGAGCAGGAGTGTGGCTGGGTGTGCTGGCAGCCAGAGAAGGTGGCAGGGATGGTGCATGGGGCACTGGAAACCCACCAAGCCCAAGCTGCCCCAAGCACACCCGGGCTTCCAGTGCCCCATGCACCATCCCCATCGCCTTCTCCAGATAGGGCCCTTGTACATGTGAGGAATATCACTGTAATTTGTTACACAGAAAACTAAAATACAAGGGATGTGTTTTAGTTTGCCATGTAAAGAAGTCATTCAAATCAAAATATACCATTGAATATATACAACTGTTACAAAATGTAATCGTAACATTCTCCTGAATGTGTACATGGTTACACAATTAAATAGTTAAAAAGGGAAATTAAACCACTAAAAGGGGCATTTTCCTCACGTGTTCAGGGGCCCTCTTATTCAATGACTATAAACAAGTCACAAGGTCAGACTTCTTACAAAACACGTATTTATATTTCTAAGCCTGTTTACACATGGACAGTTTTATGCAGCCTTTTTCAGGGTGAGATGTTTTGATTCCATTAAAGTATTCGGTCAAAGGATAACTAAAAATCCTGTATTTAATGAAATACTTCTGCAATAAAAATGTAATTGCAAATGTTTTGTGAGTTTCAGCTAATTTTACATATTATAATTATTGAGTGAAAAAAGTAGAGGCTCACAAGTGTGTTTGCCTACAGTACACTAAAGGGTTAATCCAGCCCTGGGCAGGGCTCAACCCCATGCAGCAGTGCCAGATACAATCAACTGGTGTCTGCCCGCCCACAGGCTGGTTTCAATTTATTTGTAGGCCAGATCTGGCCCGTGGACCGTATTTTGCCCACCCCTGCGTTAGATGGACAATAAAAGAAAGTGATACACTGGTGATGAGTGAAGATTGTTGCCATAGGAAGAAAAAAAAAAGGCTGCTGAACAGGACTTAACCTAAAAGTCTTAGATGTGACGTCTAGAGCCATATACATTCTTACAGATTCCCTTTACTGACAGAGGTGAAAGGAACAACCAGTTCCAGGAACAGGGGCAAGAGTTAACTCCAGGATCAAAGACTGCACTTCATTTATTTCTTCCCACAGTGACCTAAGTATATAGCAGGCCCCATTTAGGGCCAAATTCTACATCTATCATTCAGTCTTCACTCAGACAAGCTCACCACTGAAGTTGGTGGAAACTAAGATAAGCTTTTTTGGCCCCAGATGAGCAAGCCACCTTATGGTGTCTATTTTCCCAGTAATCTGACACGGCAACGAATATTACACAAGTCTCAATGACATCAGAAGAAATCTATGTACCAAATTATTCAAACAAAGAAGAGGTCATTATCCAGTAGGATCCATAAGTTAAAAGTACTGGACAAAAACAAATGTTAAAAATGGTGGGGAACCAAGAAGTTCCCCGTTAATTTTCATTAAATCATCTAAATAGTTTCACAGCATTCTCTAATTGGTTTCCTCCATAAGCAGAAATCAAGCAGATCAAGAGACCAGAACAGAAACAAAAAATGGGAATTAGGAAAAGGACAGCATGTTCATGAATAGCCCTCTGACCTCATACTGAACCTGTTTCATATTCATCACACACAAAATCAGATTAGAATACATGCCAAACCTGCGTTCTCCTTTAAGCTGCTTTTCCAGTTCACCTGTGCACATGGCTATAACTCCATTTAAGTTCCTAACTCTTAGCAAGCTGCTTTCAAAGCTGCCATTCTTTCAGTGTTCTCTAATATGCTAAGACACTCATAAAATACAAATAAAGTCAAAGTCCTGAAAAATCCTAATAAAACATTCCCTGTCTCCCACACAGCTAACTCTACAACTCAACAGCTGTCTGGAGTAGGCAGCTGCCTGCCTGTTGGAGCTGTGAAATGAAAGGTTTGGGATGTTTTGGCAATACAGTCAGGGCCAAGTGCTGAAGTCCTTCTCCAAGCAACCCCCCCTTGACCCCCAAACAAGTCTTGCCTGGGAAAGAGCTGTATGCTTGATCCCCAAGTGACTCCAGACCTACACAATCTTATAGCAATTTCTGTAACTCACTGTTATCAGTCACTTTCATTACTCCTCACACTGAACTGCAGGGGGTAAGGGGAAGAGAGGAAACAATGAATCTAACTCAAGCCACAGGACATAGGGATGACAACTGATTCAATTACCAGGCAGATACCAGGCAGAAAAGAACATGCATTAGCCCACATTAAAATAACCCTGACCTACAAGCATTAAGTCTCCTGAATGTTTCCCAGCACCCCCGAGTCACGCGGTTTTGGGGATTTGGGCAAAATTAGCCAGCAGTTATGGTGGGGTGGTAAAAAATGGGGATAAGTAATATACAGCATGACAGGCAGAGCCATTTAGCAACAGGGCTGACTCTGAGATACTTGTCTTCCTCCCCCACACCCCAAATCATCATTTTTTTTCAGAAGCTAGTGGTTCGTGATTTATTCCTTGCCCCCCTCACAACACAGTAAGAGACTCATACCTCCGGCTGGCCTTCTGATTATTTTGCCAGGGTGTGAATGAAGGAGCTGAGAGTAAAAGAGAAGCAAGCTGGGGTTTAGCAAGCAGTGCTCTCAGAGCACCCTCTAGTGGCCATCAAGGGTGCCATGGGTGCAGCTAACTTGGACCTGAAGGATGAAGGATCCTGGCTGGAAAGGGGGAAAATGGCACCCAAAGACCCTCACTCAGCCCAGGCTTCATCTCAGACTAATAGGTCAGCATATAAATAGTGCCTACAGTGAGTTTTCATAGTCCTCATGGTAAATACTGATGAAGGATAGCAAGAGAGGGGACAGCTGATGTTTTAAAACAGAGTAAAATTGCACAGTACTTCCAAGTGCTAAATCCCCTAAAAGAAGGAATGCACATCCTCTCTGGTCACCTGACAGAAAACCTGTTTATAATTCACAGACATCAATACTGCAAGTCCATTCTGCCTTCAAAGAGCATTTTGGAATGTCTTTGTGTACCACTCTCAGACAAGGAACTGTTGAGAACACTTTTCATTCAGGCCAGTCTAAATATTACCAATATCCTCTGTGCTTTTGCACTTGACCAATGCAACTCGTTTTCTGTCAGTATGATTGTTCAATGAAGAGTGACTTTCCCCTAGCAGACTGTTATTTTAGTGTTCCAATAGCACACTAGTTTCAAAGAAATATGAAAATATTACGTAGCTACATCATAGCAGAGATCCAGAATGACTGTCACTGCCACAGAAAGCCAAGATCGTATTGTATTTGAACTGTGTCCCTATTACTCCTCAACTGCAGTCCCTATAGGATACTCTTTAAACCTATTTTGTTCGGTGTATATATTCTCAGGCTGAAACAAACTAATTCAGAGCTGTCCACAATCACTTCTGAATAGGAATGATTATGGGTTAACTGAAACACTAAGTGCATTCGTGGTTCTTTGTGTAACTTGAATGACTCACACAAAATATTGACACTTGGTTTGTTTTCTTGTATCATAACGGAACATGATAAACTATCAGTACTGTTAAAGCCCATTCACTCTTGTTACTTTTGGAATGTTAACAAAACACTGATTTGGTAAGAATTCATAGCCCTTCCAAAACTTTTGACACTTTGAAACACGATTGTTCTTCACTGTTTTGCTCTCAGTTGCAAGCACCTGCCTCAAAATACTTCCAAGACATTGAGGGGTAGACTTAAATGAACATATACACACTTAGGACCAGGTGTTCGTATGACCAGCACGCTTCAAAGGAGAGTCAGGACTTTTAGGAGAATGCAGTTCTTACTTAGGCCCCAGAAAAGGGTCCAGTTCCCCGAGGAGCTTCGCAGCTCCCATAATGACATTTGTGGCCGGAGCTTAGCATCCATAGTGCTCCTTTGAAAATCCGACTGCTTTAATTTTGCTGCTTAGCAGGATAGCAGGTTGGCACAGGATGCAGGTGCTGAATCCTTAAGAAAAATCATCCCCTGCATACCCAGTTTTTATTCTACTTGTTGGGAGGTTTCAGATTATATCACACCAGTTTATGTTTTCTTTAATTAGTGTCTTTGCAGCAGTGCCAGCCATGGATATAAGGAGACAAACTTAGGTTGAAGTGTTAGCTCACAAGCTTTGCCAGGGATTAATGTTTTAAAATCCTCACATAGCTAAGCAAATCTCAGCATTTTTACACCAGAGATAAAAAATATGTTCAGCCTTCTCTCGCTATCAATATTTGCACAAAGTTCAGAACAGTTTCTTGACCTATTTCAGGGGGAATACCTTTCTATTCACATCCAGTATTTACTTGGTAATAGTCCTCTAGCTATACTAGCATGTCCTTATGAATTTATTTGCATTCCAGTGGCTATGGTGAAGTAGCTCTTCCACTGTTAAGTCAAAAGCAACTAAATATTGGCTAATCTCACATATTCACACAACATAAATAGACTCCAATGCTTTTTAGAAGATTCAGTCTCAAAATTGTCTGAAAAATTGTATGGCATGTTTGGAATCATTCATGAGATACAAGCATGGGAAGCTGGTTTTCCTTAAAAAAAAACCCTGCACAATCATATTGAGACTCTACAAATATTTTTGGCAAGAAACAACTGAATAAAATCACTACTTATTTTGAAAGCAGATTTTCTCCTAAAACTGGTCAACCTTTACTTGAAAACATGACTTTGAGGATCATGTCAATTCACAGATTCTCCTTTCTAGTCTTTCATCAGAAGTAAAATCTTGCCCTGTCTTTTGCTCACTCCTCATGAGTGTTAAGCCATTAACTTTAACTTAAGAAACCTCAAACTGACCTTTCCCACCAATAACCTGGCCCTGCCTTTCTCCATAGATGTGATTACCACCACCTTTTCCCTATCACTACAACACATAACCTGGGTGAAGCTAAAGGTGTTACCCAGGCCCTGAGCACAGGCAGCTCAGAAGAACATTTTGCTGCTTCTTCCTATATATAATGTCTAAGATTTGGTAATTCTTCTCAGTCCACACTGGTACAATTCTCACCCAGGCCGTCATCATCTCAATGCCTCAAATACAAAATCTTTCCTTTTTATCCTCCCATCTAGCCTATTCAAAATGCTTCCACTAAGGTCATTTCCCAGGCTCTGACAGTTACTTCCATCTCTCACATGCACCCATGTACAATTCTACCCCTAGCATTTCATTGGCCTCTGCTCTGCCCATGATGCCAATCTTCAGCCTCCTTTAATCAAGCTTTTGTCACATTTCTCCCTCCTGCCTCTTGGGCCTGTAAGGAGCCCCTGTTAATACCCACAAAGCCATTCCCTTATCTTTGAACAAATACCTCCTTAACCTCTTCTTAATTAGGGCTACCAGCAACATACTCGAATGTGGCTTGGCAGCTAATGCCCCATTTCCTTGGCTTATTTTACCAAGCACAACTGTTTCACAACCAGTTTCTCCAACTCCCTTTCCACTTGCACCCTCTCATGTGCTAACATTGCAAGCTTTCGGTGGAAAAGGGCTTTTACAACCCTATCTTGACCATAGAGCTTCTGCAACATGAATGTTATCACCACCACTTATTCAGAGTGACACCCATGGTGACTTCTTGAGGAAGCATTTGAATTGAACATACAGCTAAAAAGTCAGTTTTCAGGCATTAAACCCAGAGGCTGAACCTTGTACCAGCAGTGTGTACTTTCACATACGTTGCTCTGGGGTACTACCCTGGTGTCCCAAGATGCCCACCAAGAGAACTGTTCAGCCTGTTTACAAACTTAGTTAGCATAGCAGGTCAATGAGGTCATTTGGAGAGAAGCTGTCAGCTTCCATCCATTTGTAATACTTAGCTCCTCAGTTTTTCCACCACCTGTACTTGTAAGTGCTTGATGTGCCCAGCTGAATGAAGAAGCGATAGCTCTGGCGTTAAGACAAGCCAAATAAAACCAACTTGTTCATGACTAATTTCAAGGGAGGAAAACAAAAAATGTTTCTTTAGACAATTTTAGTGATGAAGAAATAGCAACAGACAATTGCCACAACTATGGGTTATAATATTATTGCTTTGCTCCGATTCCATGCTTTGCAATGAAAAGCAACGGAAGAGTGATTCTCAACCAAGGTGCTGCATGATCCCTTTAAGGGCTGCAGGGTCCTGTTCAAGATTAGCACTGTTAGGCGTTCAAACATCTACACATGATTCAAAAGGCAAACCCAAAGAGAATTCGAAGAGGAATCCACAGTGTCAAAAACGTTCTGACCCGTTGTGGTCTTTCCAAGTTCTTTGTAACAGATGAATTCCTCTATCATTTTTTTAAATCTAAAAAATGCCCCCAAAACAAGTGAAAACTAAGAGCTGGCATTTTCTGAGGGGTGTCTTGAGTCTAATGAAGTTGAGAATGATTGCATTAGAAGCTTTCTTTATGCCGCCATTGAGCAGAAAGGTATAGCAGACCAAGTCTATTCTGAAACCATTTTTTCATGCTTTGATTGTTGTTTCCCTTCTTTGACAGATATACTGTAGTTATCCAGAGTTACTATACAGGAAGATGAGGTTAAAAAGAAAGCCTGCCTGTATAACTTTAAATGATAAAGCTGAGCCCGAAGCAAATGACAAGTGACAAACTAAAGAATACTTCCAGACCTGAGACTGAAAGTCTATGTAAATTCCTCTGACAGAAAAAACACAGCACACTAAGCTGAGAGAAGCTAGAATAGGAAAAAATCACAACACTAAACAAAAACAAAGTATCTGTTAAGTTCTTCTCTAGTG